GCGCGCTACATCGCGTAGTTCAGGTGGCTATGAGCTCGTATGCTTGGGTTCTCAAATGTAGCTCTCACAGGCGCCGGAACTGCGCGCTACATTGCGTAGTTCAGGTGGCTATGAGCTCGTATGCTTGGGTCTGGGTGCTCAAATGTAGCTCTCACAGGCGCCGGAACTGCGTGCTACATCGCGTAGTAATCAGGTGGCTATGAGCTAGTATGCTTGGGTGCTCAAATTTAGCTCTGACAGGCGCCGGAACTGCACGCTACATCGCGTAGTTCAGGTGGCTATGAGCTCGTATGCTTGGGTTCTCAAATGTAGCTCTCACAGGCGCCAGAACTGTGCGCTACATTGCGTAGTTCAGGTGGCTATGAGCTCATATGCTTGGGTGCTCAAATGTAGCTCTCACAGGCGCCGGAACTGCGTGCGACATCGAGTAGTTCAGGTGGCTATGAGCTCATATGCTTGGGTGCTCAAATGTAGCTCTCACAGCCATCAAAATTACGGCTAGAACACATAGTTACGATTGTAGCGTGTAGATCAATACGGCGCATCGGCCATATTGATCATAAATCCCGATTTATGGAGAAGCATAATTGGCAACCAGCGTCCAGTGGCATCCACCTCGGCGTCTTTGGTGCATGAAATAGGCGTCCATGACCTACGTTGTGCCATGCTCTACAGTCTGGGATATATACTAGTTTATTTGTAGGTTCCGGTATAAGAATTTCATTTATTTTCTCTTTGCAGCATTTAAAATTTAATTAGGAAGTACCCCTTATAAATTTTATAAACTTATACCCCTTATAAATTTTAACTGGCCAACGCAATTGAGAAAAACTAAATCACGGAATTTGTCCGGAAAAAATGACCGTCTAGCAACCCTGCTTAAAAAACTACAAAAAATGAAATAATAGTACAAGATGAAACAATCGTAGTCAACGTGTGTCGTGTTAATTAAAAAATTTTTAATTTTTGGACACAGCTCGGAACAAGCTGTGTGTGTCTAATTCCAAGCTGTGTCAGAATTAGTTTTTATGTACCTAAAACCTTTGCTTAACTTAATCAACTATTAATTTATTTACTGCTCGAAATCAGCAAATACAAGTATACTCGAAGGATTCCTAATATATTCACAGACTTATTTAAAAGTCTCAAACCATAATATTCTTTCTACACAAACAGTAATCACTATTTGGTAGAGCAAGGTCAACTATGAACTTTGACACGTTTTTCGATGTTCTCACTGGGCGACGTGCAGTCGTGCACTATCTCTCTTTGGATCTTAAAATTTTCCCGCCTGACAACCCAGACCTAGGTCCTAGTGTTTAGGCAATAGGGTAAACGCGGTATATTCTGACATCGTAGGTAATTCCGTCACCTCTCTAGCTTTTCCTTTATATTAAGCTTTGTTTTAGTTCCATGCGTTCATTGATGGTTGAAATGGTGACGTCATACATTTGCGTGTCGAAATACTGCAAAAACACTAGGTCTTGGCCATCTAGCGGGAAAATATTGAGATCCAAAGAGAGACAATGCATGCCACGTGGTGAGATCATCGAAAAATGTGTCAAATTTGACAGTTGACATGGTGGCTCTACCAAATAGTGAATAACTGTTTTTATAGGAAGAATATTATGGTTTACTTTTAAATACGTCTGTGA